GCATTGCGCATGCTTTGTAACTAATAACGACCGAATTTACTTAAGTCTACTTTTTATCAGATTATATTTTGTTAATTACTCACTCCATAGTGAAACTGCCTACCACTAATCACCCTTAATTCCAGGAGATTTTTGTTTTCACCCCTTTTGAAAACAGCCCTTTTCCATTTTTTTATAATTCCAAAATCTTTGTATTTCAAGCAGGTATTATACAACTGTATACGCGTACGTTTGAAGTTATAAAATGACTTTGGCGTAATCAGTTAACAATAAACTGTTTTCGTCAGATTTCAGCTTAAGTTATCGGATGAACCGTATGTCATAATGCGTTGAGCATTTTTCATCGTTGAACTGGGCTGGTTTTTTTCCCCTATCTTATTAGCGCATTTATCAGTGTTGTACTTACGCCAGTCAAGAGACACTGAGATGTACAGCAGCCAGTAAATACAAAAAAGGGAACCCTACGCATTTTTTTTGTAACAGAAGCAATAATAGTGTTTAAACGACATTGATGAAAATTCACGGGAACGCTTTAAATTAAAAAGTATTTTACACCTTTTATTTGTATATGTTACCTTCCTTAAGTATGTCAAATTTTAATGTGATTTTCAAAAGCCATATAATGTTTTTCCTGATATCTAGCGGACAATTGGCGAAGTGGGTACAATTCTGTAAAAATCGTTGAATTGATCATTTTTATCAAAACAGAAATAACCTAGAATAGGCTTGCATTAATGCTTAAACTTACACTCACCCGCGGTAGAATATGTCAAAATACTTCTCTTAGAGCTAAAGTTCCTGAAGTCAAGTTGTCAAGGCGATTCCAGCTTGGTTCACCTGTGTTTTAATATTCATTCCTACATGGAAACGTAAACGAAGCAGGATTTCAGTTGAAGACTAATTATTGAAATAATTAAAGACAAATCTTATTTAAAGCCAACGTAGCAGGCTTCTATATTAGTTTTTGGCCGGCGAAATTCGCATTAAATATGGCTCATAAACAGCTTTGAATGTACTCACCATTGCAGAATGGAGGAAGTGTCCTAGGAAAACAGCAAAGATTTTCCCGCGGTTAAATCTCTCACCTCCAGCCAACCACAGAGTTGAAAAGCGGATTAAACGATTCTCCGAAAATGTAATGGAAAATGTTTACTCTTAAACTCACCAGTTCAAAGTGTACCAAAAACCTGTGTGTTTATTTCTCGCCTTTGGCACCGCATTAAAGGGTTTTGATTCTTAAATAATAAATGAATGTCTTGTTCTGATTGACAGGACATTTAAAATCTCCCTGTTCATAGCGGGTTTTCAATAGAAGCTTTCTGGTACTCTTGTTGTTGTATTGACCTTCAACGCTGATAATCTAATTTTGACTGAAACTTTCCGAAAAAGCGAAATTTTAAATAACACCACAATAGTTGTCACCGTGAAACAAAGTGGTGTTTTGTAAATTTTCCAAAGAGGCTGAAGAGGTGATTAGTTTATTAGTTTAATTCATCACTCTTTAGTAATCAAGAATTCTGTTTATCCCACAAACTAAGCCCTCTTAATAAGAAGTATGTAAATTAACTTAATAACGGGTCTTGTGGTAATTCTCAAAATTAGATAAGATTTTGTTGTAATTAGTTTTACTACGAGAATTAGACTAGGGCATTGACCATTCGAGTTAGCTTTGTATAGACGTATTAAAAAACTGCTTATCGTCGTTAGCGGCTTCCGTCCAGATGGCAACGACTCAAATTGATTATTGCAGTCTTCAGAATTAATAAACAGATAAATATTGTTCTCCTGCAGAGAGCCGTAAGGGATAAGATTGCATCTGTATAGCCTTTACTGAGTTCAGCTCGTCAGTGAACATTGCCAAGTTTTAAAATGCTTTTATTAAAATCTCAGTTTTACGAACTAGACTTTGCATAGTAATAAAAAGACAAGACTTTAGTATTGAATGTGGAGCGCTTCCCATTTGTAAGGACATTTCTGTGAAAATCTTCTGACAAATCAGGCACTGTTAAGGGATAGAAATGAGCTGTACCGGTAACAATCTACCACCAAATCAGTTTTACTTTCTCTCGCCTGGTACCGGATGGCAATCCACACAAATAGTACAAAAAATTTCGGTCACTTCGGTAAAAGCGAAAAAATGGTCACACGGAAGGGACTGTTTTATTATCCGACATTTTTCCAAAACAACGGGTCTTTCCGTTCAAATGGTAAACGCTGGTGGTTTACATACTCTTGCTTCTGTCTATTGTATCGGTCTGCTCACGCACGTTTCATGACGTTTGACATAAATATTAAACGAAGCTACGGTCGATAAAATAAACAGTCTCGCTTGCCTGAACATCAGACGTTTCTAGACGTTCCGAGCACTAATGCGTGGTTACCGACGCAAATTGGTGTACCGCTCATACTCTGGGAGTTATGTAATTGTGTAAATATTTACTCCATTTCGCTCTTTCAGACGCCATTTGAACATTAGGTATAGCAAGGAATAAATAGCAGTGGATTAGAAAATGTTTGCAGGACTCGACCCATTATTCGGGCGCCGGCACAGCGCCCGAATTCTGCTGGCACGGGTACTTGGAAAAAAAGGTTGTGTTTAGATTAGTTCTCAGTAAGTTCTGTACTCGGGCACCGTGCCTGGGTATCAAGCGTGAACGCTGCCAAAGAAGATATAAGACAACGCCGGACCCGACAAAAGGTCCCTGATTTGAGAAATGAAAGGTTCAATTTTCACAGCATAAGCACCGCGACCCAACACATCGTAGAAAGAATCAACAATTACTATGGTACTACAGTTTTAATTCAGATATTACTCTCAGTTCTATCTCTTTTATAAAACATTGAAGACCAATATCCAGTCCAACTTGTTATAGTTAGTCCGCTGAATAAAAATGGGAATTTGCCTTGGTTTGATTCGGTACTCTCCTCTATTAATAACTCTTATTTGCTGTATTTTTTCCCATTTCAAATTAAAATTTTGTTAATTAGACATTCATATGGATCATGGTTTGTTTTCTATTTCAAGTTACGACCTATGGCGTAAATTAAGCACTGACTAAGCTATGAAGAGTTTTCCTCCGCAGGAAAAAAAAATTATGTATAAATAATTTGTATGAAAGATACACGTTTATAACTGTACTTTTTACAAGATACGATCTGTTTTCATTATTTGTCTCATGTTCTACCAAGACAGAGTAAGACGTTTGGGGACTTAACTGGATAGTACTGAAATCTGAACGTCGCTTAGAATTTACCGTATGGTCAAGTAAGAAAAAGGTGCGTACACATTATAGCCTTTACACTGTTCCCCTAAAACAATTTAGTTAATAACATTTACATACATTTTTATGCCCGCTTAACGATTCACCGTAAAGCTGTAAATAAATATTATACAGCTAATTCGAGAAAAGTTGTCGGAAAAATTGCACGCGACAATCCCAAAAGGTATTGTGGGTAGTTTTGAGTTCACTGTTCTTCAATGAAATTTGAAAGAATGGCACGAGAGGCCTTGGACGTATGTTTCCGAGTGCTAAAGGAAAGCAACAAAAGTAGGTTCGACAGCTACAGTGTCAGAAACAGTGTATTGATCATATCCCATATTACCTTTCGGGATTGTCGCGTGCACTTTTTTTTTCCGACAACCTTTCTCGACGTAGCTGTATGTAGATTCCACAATGATTCATTTTAAAGGCTGAGCTTATTCAAGCCTGGATCAATGTTGTGTCTAAGGGTCCAGTTTCGAGTTCGTCATGGTCGCTTATAGCCTGAGAAAACATCCAACATTTCGTGGCACCAACACGAAATGACACCTGAGAAACAAGCGAGGAAATTCCATACTGATGACACGTCACTACCCTAACCTGGGTAGCACCTCAGAGGAAAATTTTCAACCAATCAGAAGCACTCACCAGATCTGGGTAGTGACGCGTCATCAGTATGGAATTTCTGCGCTCATTTCTCAGGCGTTACTTCACTGGGAAATCAGCGGCGGGCGCCCGCGAAATGTCGGCTGTTTTCTTAGGCTAGGAAGCTAAATAAGAGCAGTGAAGGTTACTGTAGCCTTTATCTGAAGTAAATATGTTCACAAATTCAAGCAACAAGACCTGTCTACAACTCTGTTTATTGTTTTCTTCCCGATTTCAGACACCTTCCTGCCTTCCTGCCGGTATTTGTAAATATTTTACTCTAGGTCGGGGCTAACCTGTATAAATGTGTCATAAGTGTTTGTGTTCAGCAGTTATTTCAAATTCACCATTTTCTCATAGACCATAACGCACCTCGTATATACAAACTTTTGCATAGCAACTGTTTCTCTCCTGGGTATTACAGTCGTCCCAAGAGAAAATAAAGACAATGGTTGTGCAAATATTTGGGGGTAAACAAGGTGAATTATGGTCTACGTGAAAATGGCGAATAGCCCACTTTCGATATATTAAAATTTCATCTTGACTCCGAGGCTCTCTGGTCACTTTTCTGTATCTGGTTTGGTTTTCTTTGTGCTCAAGTCCCTTCTGGGAATTGTGAGACAATGGAGTCGACAATAATTAGCAATTTTGACGCTAAAGCCTCGGAGTCATGTTAGGATTTTAATATAACGAACTTGGGCTATTCGAGAAAGGACTATTGTACTATGGAGCTGTTTTAGGGTGAAGAATTTTGAGCAAGTTTCATATGCAACTTCATAATCTTTATTTCGCCACTTAAGAAAAGATATGGGGACTGGTGCCGAAATGTGTCCCGCAATGATTTCTGGGATCGTTACTGGGAACGCGCCACCTTTTAAAGCCACCTTTCCCTAGTGACAGTCCCAGAAGTCCTTGCGAAAGTTAACTCGGTCCAGTTTTCCTCTCGTTTCCAAAGTAGCGAATGAAAGAAGCAATTACATCCTTAAAACAGTGCCATAGTGCCATTCGACAGGACACTGACCCAGTCCCATGCACAGCTACAAAATGGCCGATACAATCCTCCACGGTTGATTTTTAAAAAAATATAGACAATATCTAATCAAATGCTTCACCGGGTGGAGGGAATTTTCCCTTTGCAGGTAAAAGATTCCCCAGAAGCCTGTTGAAAAAAAAAAAAGATAAAATGAGACAAGTTATCTTGACTCAACATTTCGATATTTCAGCTTTTTGAAAAAAGGGCTCCTAAATACGAAAACACTCACCTAATTCCGTACCCAAACAATCCGACTGCTATACAAAGAGCAACGGAGGCATCGAGATACCAAATATTTCTGTTATATTGATACAGCATTGTACTTAAAACCATTCCCAAAGCCATAGCGGCACCGGCTGTTGAGTTAAAAGCTAAAAGAAAGCAACAACAACAACAACAACAGTTTGCAAGAGGCCTTAGTGCAGAAATAAAGAAAACCTCTTGTTTTGCAAGTGGCAAGTCTTTACGTCAGTGTTATAAAATTGGCTGTTTCAGAGGTTCAGAATAAAAAATGGTGATGCGACGCGATGAAAACAACGCAGAGGAAAAAACGGGGAGGAGTCGTTGGAGCGAAAAATTGACCAATCCTTCAGCTAATATAAACGCCTTTTACTGGGTTTGAATCTTATTTTCATTTGCATCTTCTGTAGCCTTTTTTTGCAAGCCATGACTGTTCTACTCCATATCAAAATCGATGAACTGCTACAGATCGCTTTTTGAACAAAATGTCACTCAAAATCAAAACCCGGTGAAAATTTGGAAATAACTTCTTTCGAAATTCCATTGACTTTGTCAAGGACTAAGATGTTTTCTGACCATCAACAAACCTTCCCTCGCTCCTAATACAATAATATTACGACACAGTCTCTCTCCTTTGCAAAACTCTTACTTTGCTAATTAAATCGCGGCTTTTTGTCAAACTCTTTCCTAATACTGTAAAAAAACACCTCGTGAGACTGACCTGCCACGATTAGCTTAGCTACCTGCAGCTCAGTACATTATTATAAATATATTGTTATAATTATACAAACAATAAGCTTCAAACTTAATATGTACTCAGTATAGTGGCTACAACTAATCGACTAGAAGTTCAACTCTTCAAAAATCATCATGCCGACTTACGTACCATCAGTGCGGAGAGATGCACTGCTCAGTTTATCAGCGATTGCAAACTTCATCCAAGCTAATGAACTAAAAGCCACCACACTCACACCAGAAATTGCTTCAATGCCGGTGAACTGAAAGAAGGATAATGATTCCTTTGAATAATAAACTTCGCTTGTACAGAACCGCTCAAAAGTATTTTTAACAGTCTCGTCTCGTCTCGTCTCGTACATTAGGGACCTTAAGACCCGACGTAGGTAACGGCAACAAAAACGTCAAAGCAATAAGAACACAACGTTTGCACGCGCAACACACTGTTTGGCTCATTTCTGGGCCGTCACTAGCACTGCTCGACTACGTCGTGCCTAATTTCTCGATTTATGGAGGACGTAAACAAGCAACGACGAAATTTTCTTCTGAACTTGGATAAAACTGGTAGGGGGTCCAGGAGAGGTCGCATACATATACATTTGAAAAAGTAATTGAGTTGGAGTAATCGCTATGAAGGTTGAAATAGCGCGAATTTAAGCAACGTTTTTGCTGGCGTCGCCGCCTACGCATTTTAAGGTCCCTATTACACGTTTTTCGTTTTTTATCGACAATTTAGTGTGCGCGCAAACGAAACGAGCGCACGACAGAGAGCGCGCAGCGCGCAGTTTTTATTTTCATACGCACGCTCGATGCCCTGCTTAAGAGAAAACAGAGCCCGGCCTGTGAACAGGCCAACCAGGTGTATAATTGTTTACTGGACATACTGCAGGAAATGAGCCTGTGATGGACAGGCATCCCATCCAGGGAAAATTTTGGGGTAAAAGGGTAAAAGGGTAAAACAAACATGGCAAACTTACTTTGAGGGGATGCTTCTCCACAATTAGTGCCCTGACTGCTCTGATAAATATACCAGTTCCAGACACGACAAACAGGAAAGCAATCACTATACAGGCTCTGCAACAGAGAGAACATTGATCAGTGTCAACCTGATAGCTAGGGACAGCTTTTTCGATCTTTTTCTGAATTATAGTGGAACCAGCCCTACGGACACTCGCTTATTATGGACACAGGTTAATATGGACAAGGGACACCCTTCTGTGTCCCGATTGAGTCACAAACTTTCATATAAATGGTCAATCCTGCTTTAAAGACACTTTTTTTCTGCTCACGGTCTATAACTGAATATCTTACCAATGAAAACCTAAAAGAAATGGTAAGTGACCTTTCAAAAGTTCTGACTAATATTCAGTCCACCTGGCTGAGTCGCAAACTAAAAGTGTCAGACGTACAAAGTAAAGTAATCTGAAGTCATGGATTCTATTTTCGTGTTTCAAGAATAATACTTAACAGGTAATTTTAGTCTAAGACTAATTTGGCATATGCATGACAGTGAGATTTCTCTAGGACAAACTTGTTGCAGTTATAATTAAAAAATTAAACAATTCTTTCATACTCGTTCAAATGTCTGCTTTGGTCTTTATATTGAAAAAACATGTGTCTGTGATGTTCTTTCAGAGACACCCTGAGAATATGGACACTATGCGAGCATGTCCCCTTGGTGTTAGTCTGCACAGAATAGTGGTTTGGGTTGGGGGTGCAAGGTAATAAAGGCCACAAGGACAGAGAAACCGCAAGCACAAAACCATCATGCTACGCAGGCTACCTTGGTGTCTGTAATAGCAGGGTTCCACCATGGTTGTCACTAAGATTTCAAGTTGCTGGGTAAATACAAAAAGTAGCCGGGGAATCAAACAACTAGGAGTTTCTTTTTTGGTTCTATTTTTCTTATATTTTCTTTGAAAGTAGCTGGGGGCAACATTCATAGTAGCTGGGGAAAATTCCAGGCCCAAACCTCTTAATGACAGCCCTGGTTCCACACAGGGTACAGAGGAGTCATTTGTGATGGCAAGCGAAACGAAATTTTACAGCTGATCACACAAGTCACCTATGTTTACTGTAGAATCGACTAAGAACTTCATGTATCAAACCATCATGCGATCGTGTTACAAACCTGGTAAAATATTTCCTGATACTCCGTGGAAAGCGAAGCTTTCCTTTTTATTCTTCCGCAGTCATTACCTTCCGCAGTTTTCTGCAGCATTGGATAATATATTACAAGGCCCCAGTCATTCAAAAGGGGATAGTGCTATCCGCTGGATAAATCGCTATCCAGTTTATAACTTAATTAGTTTATGTAATACTTATCCGTTGGAGAGCCATTTATCCGGTGGATAGCGCTATCCAACTTTTGAACAACCAGGGCAATAAGTTGATCAAATGTTGGTTTGCTTGATTTTACAGTATAAAAACAAAGGTGATGCATGGTATCAACTGTAAAATTTAACTACAATCAACAGTCAAGGTCACAAACAACTCCTCTGTGCCCTGTGGTTCCACTGTGTTTTCATTAGTTCTAAGGTCTAACAATTAGCCATACACTGGTTGGGGTCGGCTTTTTTTCTAGAACAGAATCATGTACTATTAATATTATTTGGACAGTACCTTCTTTCTCTTTCCCACGAATATTGTTTTCCGGCTAACCCACAAAATCTCCAAATAACAACCAGTGATGAACACACATCTAATAAAGAATCAAACTGAGAAAAAAATATCCATGTCAGATTTTCAGGAGTCAGGAATCTACTGAATGAAAAGTTGGCATTATTTATCAAACGTTAATTAGACTTTTGAAAAAGTTCTTTATCATGTGAGATAAGTGGACCCCAGGCGACTTTGATGCTGGCTCGGCTGCGATAAAAAGCTTGCCCTGCTTGCTCTCTGCTATGAAACTGAAACTCGAGAGGTCAACTTATAGCAAGTCTAATTGAACTTTANGGTCGGCTTTTTTTCTAGAACAGAATCATGTACTATTAATATTATTTGGACAGTACCTTCTTTCTCTTTCCCACGAATATTGTTTTCCGGCTAACCCACAAAATCTCCAAATAACAACCAGTGATGAACACACATCTAATAAAGAATCAAACTGAGAAAAAAATATCCATGTCAGATTTTCAGGAGTCAGGAATCTACTGAATGAAAAGTTGGCATTATTTATCAAACGTTAATTAGACTTTTGAAAAAGTTCTTTATCATGTGAGATAAGTGGACCCCAGGCGACTTTGATGCTGGCTCGGCTGCGATAAAAAGCTTGCCCTGCTTGCTCTCTGCTATGAAACTGAAACTCGAGAGGTCAACTTATAGCAAGTCTAATTGAACTTTACCATTTTTACAGGGTAAAAAATGAAGTACAAATGAGGTTTTCTTTCTTCTTTTTTTATTCGGAGGATCATTAATTCTCTGATTATATAAAAAATTAAATCTTCAAGAAATTTAGAATCAGAATTTCCAAACCTTCATTCTTTTTTTTTTCTATCAGTACAGTCAAATGGATTGTATGAAGTTATGCATGCCTATACATGCTTTACATGTAGGTGTTGGAAAGTGTGTAGTACGGATATCTCTTAATTCTTAAATAGGTCTGTAAGAAGATGCAGAAATGCTCCACCATTACCCTGCAGTGAATTCTTTTTTCCAGACTATCAATGAATTATTGTGAAACTTTAGTGTAGAAGTTCACGTGAAGAGCCATTTAGTGGATACCCTGAACAAAGTCATTATTATTATTATTATTATTATTATTATTAATTATTATTATTATTAATTATTATTATTATTATTATTACCATTATTATTATTATCATCATCATCATCATTAGGTGAGCATTATCATCATCATTATCATCATCATTATTATTGATATAATTATTAATCATTATTGTTGAATAAATAGCATGTGGACTTACTGCAAAGCCAAATGCTGCAGAGCTTTTGGCCAAACTGGAAATGACTATAGAAAGAAAAACAATATTATGTTAACATTTTTTTATAAATTATCATAATATTTAAATATGATTGTAACTTCCCAGTTATTCCTAAGTGCTACTCATCATTGGAAATGCTTTAACATTCATAGTGAGTCCCAGCCACCTAGACTTTGCAGAAATCTGTTAGCGAACAATTATTACAGAATAAAATATTAAAAATTCCAATTATGACTCTGTTACTAGTAATATTAGCCTTTTGTTTTTTCAGGAAACTCCTCAGCCCTAACCCCTGAACCATATAATAACAACAGTTTTTGCATCAGTCTGCTTACCAAATGCACTCACACCTATAACAAAAGTAGTAAAAACGGAAGCATAAGAAACAGCTAGAGCTGCTTTCCGCCATCTGTCCAACAATTGAGCAGGAATCTGTTTTTCTTTATGGAGGAGATAATCTGAGAAATATGAAGTAAAAATTTACACAGTGAATATTAAACAACACAATACCAACAGAAAAATTGCCCATTCCATACTGGTAACTTTGTTTCTTTATAACCTGAAAAATTACTTTGTACATGTATGTCTAGTCAGTAGAAAATTTTACCAAATCTGATATTTTGCATTGTACGTTTTGCTGTACATCTTGCAGTTAATTGCTGGCAACAAATAGTACCATTCAAATCAACTTTAAAAGTTCCTAGTCTGTCATGAGTCTTTAATTCTCATCTAAATTCTCAAATCCTGCAAGAATTGAGTATCACAATTTATCAATAAGTCATCAAGAATCAATGCTGAAAAGCAAGACTTGTGAGGTAGAAACTAATGCACGCATCGATTTCTCAATAGTTTTTAAGATATTATATTATTAAAATTTAGTAAAAACAGATCACAAATACATAGCTGTTGTGGCTACTGCGGTGTGACCAAAGGCCCCCACAAGTTATAATACTAAAACGCACCGTGGAAGACTGAAGCCAAACAGTAAATTAAAGGGTTGGTACATTCACCTTGGAACCAGCTAATTTAAACTACATCCATTCTGCTTGATAGCAAAAATAGCAGCAATAGTTGCTGACCATTAAAAGAACTCTAACTTGGACATGATATTGTCTGCCTTACATTGCGACTACTCAAATCAGTGCATTTGGAAGATTATTCAGTCACAACGCNAATTACTTTGTACATGTATGTCTAGTCAGTAGAAAATTTTACCAAATCTGATATTTTGCATTGTACGTTTTGCTGTACATCTTGCAGTTAATTGCTGGCAACAAATAGTACCATTCAAATCAACTTTAAAAGTTCCTAGTCTGTCATGAGTCTTTAATTCTCATCTAAATTCTCAAATCCTGCAAGAATTGAGTATCACAATTTATCAATAAGTCATCAAGAATCAATGCTGAAAAGCAAGACTTGTGAGGTAGAAACTAATGCACGCATCGATTTCTCAATAGTTTTTAAGATATTATATTATTAAAATTTAGTAAAAACAGATCACAAATACATAGCTGTTGTGGCTACTGCGGTGTGACCAAAGGCCCCCACAAGTTATAATACTAAAACGCACCGTGGAAGACTGAAGCCAAACAGTAAATTAAAGGGTTGGTACATTCACCTTGGAACCAGCTAATTTAAACTACATCCATTCTGCTTGATAGCAAAAATAGCAGCAATAGTTGCTGACCATTAAAAGAACTCTAACTTGGACATGATATTGTCTGCCTTACATTGCGACTACTCAAATCAGTGCATTTGGAAGATTATTCAGTCACAACGCATTTTGAAATCAAGTTTTTTGCAAATGAACCAATAAAATTCAAGGTTCAACTTATGCAACCTTTAAAAACTTTACAATGGTGCAAACTTACCTGATCTCTCAAGGAACAACCCTCAAATTTATGAATGTTATAAGTCTGTTTGCACAAAACTTGGGAATCTTTTGTTTTCAAAAAAATGTTGTGATCAGATAATCTTCCTTCAAGTGCCCTGGTTTGCGTAGGACTTCACACTATCTAAGAAAGTCAGTTTTACAGATTGGCAATTAAAAGAACAGAAATCACTAGCCCAACTGCAAAATCTGCCATCCATGGACTAACAGACACAACCTTTTATTTCATGCTGCTAAGATTGTAATTATCTCCCTGATTGTCAAGGAAATTTCCCAAGCTTTCAAAACAAATTTGAATACAAAGGGTATAAGGTTAGTCTTGACTTCTGAGTCGGAGCAAATTTTCCATGTAACACTTAGGTATTTGGTACATATTGTAGTACATAGAATAATTATTATTTTTCAAGGTGAAAAGATGCACAAATGTACACAACTAAACTTTGTAAGTTCATGGTTGGCACTTTGCTCTTCTTGAGTAATCCATTTTCTGTGATAGTCATAAAATAATGTCTTACAGTTTTCAACTAACAATTTGCAAGTGGCAGTTACAGACAATATTATTTTTCTCATTCTGTTTCTTGATCTGATCATACAATAATTATCGCAAAGGGACTTAAGTAAATAAAATAAACTCAAATATGCCATGATTGTTCATAATTTATTTATTTATGTAACATATGTTGTTCTAAAACACAACCAATCTTCAATGAGAAGTCTGCAATCAGGTAGATATAAAGAAAATCAGTTCATAATAAATTCAGGAAATCTCTGTGAGAAGTTGAACATTTGCAAAACACATGTTTTCAGCTTACATGTAAATGACAGCTGAAGTTTAACCCACATATGCATTTAAGTACAAAAACACGAACATGTAAGTAAATTTTCTTTACATGAAAATGTTGTGAGAAAAATATATCAGTTGAATAAATGAAATGTCCTTGGTACATGAAGTAGATTTCAGACTAAAGCCATTTAAAATCTTTTAAATTTGTTTTCCATAATTTATAAAGCGATAGCACTGACAACCCCTGAACATTTTTTTTTTCAATAATGGCAAATATATTTTGAGCCACGAAAATACAATTATTTTTTTTTGTAAACTGAGAAATTTAAAAAATTGCTTCAAACCAGAAGATAATACTTTTAACCAGCCAATAATCATGTAAACAAAAATTACATTGTAATTGTCAAAAAATTGACCTTACACTTAAAATTAAACTTTAAAAAGGCGAAAATAAAATATATATTAACTGCTGGTTTTTAGATGAGAGAGACTTTTAAAGAAAGTAGATGAAAGCTGATAAATTACATTCCTAAAATGTTCAAGGACTGTTTTTACAGGGAAAAAAAAAACTTTTTAAGAGCACTTGCTTGAGGATAAGCTCCTATCAGGGGCTACATAATTTTACACACTACAAATTCGCTATTAAAAAAGGTTTGCTGTTACGAATTCAAAATAAACTGTGTTTAACAATAAATTGTGAGTTCGAAATTTTTACTCAAATAGAAAGTGAGCATAAACAATGAAAGTTTGAAAAAAACATGTTTGTTTAACAAGAAATTACCAGTGATTTATGGCGGGCAAAAGAAGATCAACAATAATGCTGAGAGTGGAAGAGTGCAATTTAGAAGAAATAATAACAATCATCTTATCTATGTCTTTTCTGCGCCGAAGGTAATTTTTTCAGTGCAGGCATTCTCTTACAAACTCAAGGGTTCAGTTTTATAATAAAGTTTTCCTTTCAGGTGCTGTGAATCGACATGAATAATATGCCAAAGATCTGATATGTGGAGACTGATCGCGATCGATGTGATCGAACTCAAGATTTTTCCCCCCTCCGTTCGCTCGTAGTGTAGCCTGTACACTGCGATGACTATTCTTAGACGAAAACTATCTCCAAGTTTTAATTGAAAGGCAAAATTAGCTCTTTAGAGACAAGCGTTCAATCATAATAAACCGATCGATCGACTACTGCGATAATATGAGCAAAAGAGATCTTAGGACCTACCATCGTCCAGAGGTGATACACAAGGAAATCCCTCAATCTCTTTCCCTTTTTCTTCTCCTGTAGAGACGCTAGTTAAAAGAACTGGAGAGGAACCATATTTTGTCCTCCATTCCATGATAATTCACGGCATTAACCATGCCGAAAATGAGACAATAAGGCCATCGATCTTCCTAATCTACTCAGACGGTTGGATATATGATTCCAAAATGAGCAGCAAGATGCTGATCATATTTTAACAGAGAAGGGCATGGGGTAGAGCAAAAATGCAAAAACTACTAGGGAGATGTGAGGAACAGCGTGAACTTGTGAGGGGAGCTGTGAGTCTAAATACTTCCGAAAGATAACAATTTTTTTTAGTGTTGTCTGACTTACCCTTTACACATGTAATTCTATCAAAAGCCTTAAATATAGGGCTCTTTTAGAGATCACGTCCGGAATCTTATTTTAGCTTGAAATCTTCCTTCCCTTGGGGTGAGGGTAGCGGCACTTTCCCCCTTGGCCGTGACAGGTACAGAGGGATCTGGAAACAACATGACGATCAGGAGACATACACATCTCATATAGATGGAAGAGAAGAAAAATATTTGATCAATTTGCTGTTCTTTAATTTGCTTCTTGATTGCTGTCATTTTCTCCTTGAAAGAAACCGTTTGGCTAACACGCGGATATACGAATACTTGTCCTGCATTTTTGTGAGCTTGTAAAATATTCTCAGTGCAAGTGCAAGTGCACGCACACTAAACACAAAGGTCAATTTACGTAATACCCTTCTTTAGAAAATTGGGAGCGTATTTGGGAATTCTCTTCGTTTGAGTTCATCGAAGGATCTTCAAGTGGTTCCTTGTGATGTCTTACATTCGCATTTTGGGAGGTACTGCAGCCGTGAGCGGTGGACTTTATGCATTTTATAGATTTCGTGACAAGAAACAACAGGTGTGTAAAATGAGATAGTTTACAGTTCCCTAACCTCTTTTAGCTTCCATGCTTTTCAATGTTCGTTTGAAATGGGTTTGTTCACTAACCTGTTTAGTCCACGTGCATCATGCAATTCAGATCTACTAGCTTCAAGCCTTGAATAGCCACATTCAATATGTTAACACTCAGCCTAGAACAAGCAGAATTCTCATCCAAAAGTAGTTGTAGGAAGGGACATTATGGTGAGTGCCCCTTCTCCCCCGACCTCATAAGCAGTCTTTGTGTGGTAAACCGATGTGGAGTTTTGGGGCTTATTTTCCAGAGACTCATAGTGGTATCTATTGTTTCTAGCTGAAAGTTAAGATAAAGTCAGGCCATTGTTCTTTCATCATTTTTTTTTCTGTTTTCTGCATGTTTGTATGTTGCAAAATTATGAGATGGATGGTCCCCTTAATAGTCTACACTTAAGCCATAACCTGCACCCACAATACTGTCTACAGTTCCCATTTTCCAGTAGCAGAGATGTCGTTAAGAGCCGGCTGCCAGCTAATTTCACCGGGTGAAAAAGAGCTTACCACCAGCTCAAATTACAAACGAAAACAAAGTTGCAGTTGAGTAAAAAAGCCGGCTTGACTAATAAAAAAGCCTGTTTATCCTTTCCTTAGCTACATCCCTGCTGTAAGGCTGTAGAGATGAGTGGTTTAATTACTATGATAAGCAACTGTCTTTGTGTTAAATAATGTACAGAAGGGGCAAAAGGGAGTGGTAGCAAAGGCACAAAAAAAAAATACTTTCTCTCACTTCTCTTTGAATCTAACCCCCCCCCCCCCTGATTCTCTCAGTAAATTTGATACTCCATTCCAGTGTATGGTTCCACCATTATATTATACTTTCATAAAGATGATGAGATTCTGGCATGTTATGTGCTTCCAGCAACTTTGAAGAATCTTCTCCTATGGCTGATTCACACAAGTGGAAGCAAAGAGAACATATGTCAAGGCTGTGCTCTTACGAAAATTGAAGGGAGCCCAGTGCTCTGAACCTGTAAAATCCAGGGTGCCCAGCATATGATTTGTACGAAAAATCTGAGATTTTCTAGTCGCCCGAGAGAAAAGTTTAGCACCAGGGGCCACTGGGCTCCGCTAGAGCACAGCCCTGCATGTCCAAATTAGTTTAGTTTAGTTTAGTTTGTGACCCTGCCAATTTGGCAGGGTCACCACAATAGTATAAAGTCAATAACTACTGTAAGCCCTTAATAGTCCCCTTCACATTATGAGACATAGACCACTCCACTAGGATCTCTGTCCCTTACTCTTCTCAAACAACAGTGTGGGTTCCTAACCATCCCGACCCCCTCCTTTCAACAAATTACTATCAAGTGCAAGTGCTGACATGCACAAGAATATGTTAGTGACATCGCATTTTTTTTGTTGCAGAACCCTTTATTATCCCCGGTTATTGCTGCAGAAAAGACAGTTTTAGGACAACCAAATAACCCTCTTCCTTCAAGATCTGTTCACATCAATGCTCTGAAGAACACACCTGAATTTGATGTTTTGGTGATCGGTGGTGGCGCTTCTGGTTGTGGAGTAGCTCTTGATGCTGTGACCAGGGGTAAACAAGAATTTATTTTAAAATATATAGTAAAAAATCCATTTGGCCAGGTATCTGTTCAGTTATAGATCACAGATGGGGTCTCCCTGCGGAGCAATCTCTGTTGAGCATGCAAAGCATGTTGCTAGGACATAGATTCGAACCGAGGCCAAGGTGTAATTGCTACAGAGGGCTTGGTTATAATCATTTATTTATTTATAAATGGATGCTCATGCTAAAAAAAAGAAAACAGTTTGATGAGAGAGAATAAGATTGACTAGTCCAGAGGTTTTGTTTGTGGTGACCTCCAAGGTTTGATGTGATTCAGGCAGAGCCTCATTTTTCCTCCTCACTCAAGAATACAAAGTTGAAGGCATGTGTGGCTGAGTGGTTAACACCTCGAACTCCAGATCTGGAGGTCTGGGGTTCAAGCCTCACCCATCGCATTGTTTCCTTAGACAAGGAACTTTACTCCACTTTGTCTCTCTTCACCCAGGTGTATAATTGGGTACCGGTGACAAACTGCTGGGGGGTAACCCTGTGATGGAGTAGCATCCCTTTCGGGGGGAGTAGCAATACTCCTAGGTAATTAATGTTAATGAAACTGAGATAAGCTCCACCAGGTTGGGCCTTTGGCTTGTGTGTGCCTTTACCATTTTTTTTACCAAGAATACAAAAGGAGGCTCTGCTTGTAGATTATGTGAGATAGCATTAAAATTATTCTGGTTTAATTGGGAACAAAAAAGTGGCCAATGGCAGCTCAGTCATCTTTCTTTGTAAAGAGGCTATCATAATTCTGGTTTTGTACTAGTCTGGCATCAGTAAAAGTAGTTTAATTTTTAATTCTTTTTCCATTCTTAATGCCTATTATTAACACTCCATTGTGGCTCCTTCCATGAATGCTACAATGCATGTACATCATTTTGCACTCTTGAATGATGATGATGATGATGGTGATGATGATGATGATGATGATGATGTTGGTGGTGGTGATAAGAAATGATAATAATGGGTGATTTTGATTGATTTATAGGCCTGAGCACAGCTTTGGTGGAAAGGGATGATTTTGCATCTGGAACTAGCAGTCGTAGTACCAAACTAATTCATGGAGGGGTGCGTTATCTACAGAAAGCCATTATGCAATTGGATAGGGAACAGGTAATCTCCTTGTTAAGTGCAAAAAGAGACTTCCATTGAATTATGTAATAAAAGAAATTTTCAATTTTTATTTTATTTGCAGCATTTTTTGCACCAGTTTTTTTATTAAAGATATACCCAATGTAAGTTATTTCTTTTGTTTTGTGTTGACAGTATCGCCTTGTAAAGGAAGCACTGCATGAAAGAGCCAACTTGTTGGCTATTGCCCCACACTTATCTGCTCCTTTGCCAATCATGCTTCCCGTTTACAGGCAAGTGATGTTAACTGTTCATTGAAATTATTACATGTACAGTTAAACCCTGTTAATACAGACACTGAGGAGGCCATAGAAAGTGTTCTTTTTTTAACAGGATGTCCGTTTTTAGTGGGTTGAATTTAGAGGAAATGTAGAGGCTTTCTTGCTTTCCACAGTGACAAAGTAACTGTCCAAAATAATGGAGTGTCCATCTTAAGTGGATGTCCATAACATGGGATTTCACTGTTCCTGGTATCTTAAATATCACTTGAATTTCTAATCATAATCAATTTCCATGAAGTTATTTTAATGACCAGAATTACTTTGAGTTAGCTGAAGGTTTGAGTTACTGAGAGTAAAATTACAGTAAATGTATGAAGGAAATCCAGGAGAAATCAACTTTGGTTTGAGTTAGCGCAAGGTTCAATTTAGTGAGAGATTTAAGTTAGCGGGAGTCAACTACATGTATTTCTCACAGCAACAGTAATATGATAGTCATATTATAAATAATATCATAGGTGACGAATTACTCCTTAATTTTGGCGCAAAATTTCAGCGTTAATTTGTACGCTATTTCACATGTGAAATTACAAAATTTCCATGGCAACCTTCCGTATGTCTCAGTGTCGAGATGGTGACGAAGTTTTAAAATGCCATGAATGAAGATGTCAGGGCACAAAAAGATGCTTTAGAAAAACCTGAACACACAAGAGAACATCAAGAAGGATTCTAACAGGTATTTTGCCGAAATAGTCTGAAAAATTCTGAACTTTATAAGCCAAATTTAAGGTCTAAACTTTTGAAAGAGTGGAGTTCTTGATCGATACGATCCAGGATAAACATGTCAAAAATCCAAGATTGCTAACGTAATTCGTCACCCATGATATTAGTAGGTAATCAAATGGTATACTTGTGAAATTAGGGAATAATTTCACTTGCGTTTTGTCCAAATCCTAATAATTTCCCTCGCCTAAAGGCTCACGAAATTATTAGGATTTGGACAAAACGCACGTGAAATTATTCCCTAATTTCACTCGTCCCCATTTGATTACACATACTAATAATATTATTATTTTCATTAAAAATTAACTTAATTTGTACTTTTTTCAGATGGTGGCAACTCCCTTACTTTTGGGCTGGAATCAAAATGTATGACCTTGTGTCAGGTCGTCAACTTCTCAAGAGTAGCTATGTTGTTGGAAAAAAGAAGGCTTTGGAGCTCTTTCCAATGCTNGACCTTGTGTCAGGTCGTCAACTTCTCAAGAGTAGCTATGTTGTTGGAAAAAAGAAGGCTTTGGAGCTCTTTCCAATGCTTAAAAAGGACAAATTGTGTGGAGCAATTATTTATTATGATGGTGAGTCATGAACCAAATTTGAAGATAGGGAGCTCTTATATATATGACCAGTTACAATTTGCCTCTGAGACCAGCTTTCAACATACACTAGCTTACAATAGAGATGACCTGATTAAAGTGTACTTGTAAATTAAGCATGAAGTTCTGATGGACGACACTGTTCTATGTCCACTCCTTTTCTGGGGAGAGCACCAGATTTTTACTTTCTCATTTGAATGCAGTAAAGGCCTCACTAGCCATTTGAAGGGCAGCTGGCAGTGTGCTCTTTGTCTGTCAGTTATTTTAAGATTATTTTAAGTCCCATTGCAGATTGATGTATTAATAACTTAGCTATCCCTGGCACGATCAGCAAGTTCATTTTTGAAGAGATTAGCCAAACCCTGAAGTTTGCATTAGGGAGGTGTACTTTGCTTCATGCCAAGTTTACTTGCAGACAAACAAGTGATACCCAGATAATCATTGATATAGAACCTTAGAGAGCTTTAGATACAGAGTTTTGCAGGCTACAGACAAGCAGGTGTTTTCATCATCACCTCTTAACCTTTGCTGTCTGGTATGTAACAATGATCTAAATTATTGTTGTGAACGTAGGGCCATTCAGGACTACAACCATTTTGTGTGCTGAAAAGACAGAAAGATAAATATACAGTACTTGTAATTCCAAAAAGATTTTTTCGAGAAACCTGAATCTTCACCCATATGTTCCTTTGTAATAGAAGGTTTATTACGTGTAATTTTCAAGGACAACATGATGATGCAAGAATGAACCTCGCTATCGCACTTACTGCTGTCAGGCACGGGGCATCTGTGGCCAACCACGTGGAAGTATTGTCTCTTCTTAAAAGAAAGGGTAGGAACCAATAGAGTATACTAAGCACTGACACCTCCAAAAACAGTTTATTTTGTTTTTCATGAGTCGCAATTTTTCCTGAGGGGAAGCCAAGAGAGTCATAGAGTTTCTCGGGAAACAAAATTTATTTATCTCCCAAGGGACCAGGGTCATTAAGACCCCCTCCACTTATTTTTGAAAACGGAAATTTTTTCTCCATTTTAACCTAAACTTCCTTCTACGCGTAAACCGCAATTTGCGGCACCAAAAACTATGGTTTCCCAAAAAGGTCCTCAGAGTGGACCTTTTTGAAAACGCCGGCTTCTTGTTTACGTGTGAATGGACGGGTACATAGGTTTTGGAATACGGTGATGTCATCATAAGGGACAGTTACTACATTTTAATATGGTCGCTGTGCGACTACCTCGTGAACGGACGGAACCGTAGGTTTTCGAATACGATGATGTCATCATAAGGAGCAGTTACTACATTTATACACGGTCGCCGTGCGACCACCTCGTGTGAACGGACGGAAACGTGGATTTTCGAATACGATGATGTCATCATAAAGAACAGTTACCACATTTAAATACGGTCGCTGTGCGACCACCTCCTACAAGGAAAGCTTTCGTAAACGACCACCTCCCGCAAACGACTGCGGCGACCAGTATTCAATTTGGGCTGATGGTTTAATGATTTTCCATTGTTTTTAACCTCTTTTAAGCGACCACTAGACGAATTATCTGACTCCATGTTCGTGCTGTGTGTACTTACAGGAGGTTTGACTCTACCCTATTTTCTGTGGCAGCCATTAATTATAGCGTGTCTCCTTCCAATCGACTTGTTCCAACCAAAAAACTATGCAACTTTCAATGAACGTTTTTCTGCAGAAGAAGGCAAAGAGGATGAAGTAGTTTGTGGGGCTCACGTTCGTGACGTGATTACTGGCGAGGAATTTGATGTACGAGCAAAGTGCGTTGTGAATGCCACAGGACCCTTTACTGACGCAATACGGAAGATGGACGATCCAACAGAGAGGAATATCTGCCAGCCAAGCTCAGGGGTGCATATCGTACTGCCAGAATACTACAGGTACTGTAGGGCTGAGAAAACAGCCGACATTCCACGACGCCAACTGGTCTCCTCGCGAAACGAGTCCAGAAAATCCGTACTGATGACGTGTCACTACCCAGATCAGGGTAGTGCTTTTGATTGGTTGATGCAAATTTCCTACGTGGCACGACCAATCAGAAGCGCTACCCAGTTATGGGTACTGACGCGTCATCAGTGTGGAATTTCTCAGACGTCATTTCGCGGAGAAACCATTGGTGACGTCTCGAAATGTCGGCTGTTTCCTTGGACTGCAGCCGCCAGCTGTTCAAAAGGCGGATAGCGGTCCGGATAAATCTCCATCCTCTGGATAGCGTAATTGGTTTTCCTACGATTCTTCGTTCTTTAAGCCAAGTATGTACGTGAAACTATTTACACCTCGACTGAATAAACTTGTATCTTAACGATTCTAATCGGAATGACTCTGGATCGAAACGACCGATACGACCTCGCTCAAGCATTGGAATTATTACACGAAAACATTTCGACCACTTCAGTAGAATAAAGTCAACATGCACATCTTTGAAGGCTTCCGATCGTTTCGCTACAAAGTTTTTCGCCACATTTTACAGCATAATATTTCAGTTAATCAGGTTTTAGTTTGAAAGAGAGTGCTAGTGTCAACTTAGAACTTGACGCAAGCAACTCGGAAGAATAGCTAGCTTGACGGCCTAGCTACCACGAATGTCTTGTAGCTAAGTGGTAGAGCATTTGAACTGGCAACCAAAATGTCAACTTCTGTGGATAGAACTCGATTTTGTTTTGTCTTTGTCCCCTGTGTCACTGACAAAAAAATAACCAGTTCATTCTGTTTTGAAAGAAACTAAAATCATGCTTTTTACTTTTATTTTAGTCCAAAAGATATGGGTCTTCTGGATCCAGCGACAAGCGATGGACGAGTCATCTTCTTCCTTCCTTGGGAAGGTGAGATGTATAAGTCTTACTGAAAGTTAGAAGACCTAGACTACGAGTAGTCCCCCATTTTTCCTCAGGGATAGTAGAGCGAGCGAAAGGCGAACGCGCGTGAAAATCACCCCACGCGAGAAAAGGCGACACGCGTTCCACTCGCTCTACTATCCCGGAGGAAAAATGGGGGACTACTCGTAGTCTATAGAAAGCCTTATTATGGGTGCCTTTTGCTGTTGTTTTTGTATTGTTTTGTTTTACTTCCAAAAGGAAGTAGCAAGCTATGGAATCATCAGTGTACTATTGAGTTTTTTTGTTTAATGCGTCTCGCAAATACGATATTACAGCCAACCATTAATATTTTAAAATCGTTTCCTTGTCGTATTGTAGGAAAAACAATCGCTGGTACAACTGATTCCCCAACAGAGCTGTCGCCCAACCCGGCCCCAAAAGAAGCCGAGATTCAGTTTATTCTTAGTGAAATCAAGCATTATCTTACTGAAGATTTAGAAGGTAAGAGTCCCAAACCAGTAAGCAGTTTCTCTAAGATATACCTGACAGGATCCTTGCCTCCTGTGTTGGCCTTTTTTTAGAATTCTTCACGCATTGTGCCTTTTCAAGGTCATACGAAAATCGCTCTATCAATGCTTTGTTGCAGTTCGTCGTGGTGATGTACAAGCGGCGTGGAGTGGTATCCGACCTTTGGTCATAGACCCGAACTCTAAAAATACCGCTTCAATCGCCCGCAATCACCTGATTTTGGTCAGTAAGAGTGGACTGGTAACGATTGCTGGAGGCAAATGGACCACCTACCGCTCCATGGCAACAGATACCATGGAAGCCGCTATTAAAGCTCGCGGGCTCCAGCCTGCTAGGAATTGTCAGACCGACGGACTGTTCCTCGAGGGAGGAGAGGGTTATACGTCAAATTATTTCATCCGACTTGTACAGGATTATGGTCTTGAAGTTGAGGTTCGTCTAATAGCCGATTTATATATACCTCATTTGATACTTTGATGTATGAAACGCCCAGATATTTTGTTGATTATTTGACTGCTTAATATTTAAATTTTGCGAACTTTCCCAGTAGCTCCTCAACAAAACTGTTTTTGCTCGTGCGGTGTTTCCCTCTTGCTTATAATGCAGGCATCCTGGGGGAGACGCAGAAATACTAGAATTTGCTAGAGTTGTTACATCTTTTGCTTTCAAAATCATACAAGAACTACGGGGCGCCCTCAGTCGCTCGAAAACTATGCCTACACTGAGTGCTAACCCTGAGCAGTGAATGCTAAGGCCTGAGCGTGCGCACTGATGTTTTGATTTCCCACTCTATCTGACCAGTCAAACTGGATTAGTCCATGTTGAAACTGACTTGAATTCGAATACTGCACTGCACTGTGTCTGCACTGGACTCCTAGTAAAGTGCACTCTGTTTTAGTTAACAGACTTGTAACCATTGAAGGGAGAAGAGAGATGGCGTTTTGCCGCATGATGCCTCGCACCTATACATCGTTTCGAATGAAAATGATTCATACAAAAAGGGGTCAATTGGGGGGCAAAAGAGAACAACGAACTTTCAGTAGTAGCAAAACAAACAGTTACTGCCCCGGGTAGCCGGTTATATATAGCGCGCGTTAAGATAACAAGATCGCGAGTGAGGAAGCTATGAGGAGAATTTCAGTTGGTTGATAAAGCAGTTGGTTGATCAACTGGTTCCAAAAAATTGTAGTTTGCTTACCTGAGATCGGGCTCAATGATCATCAACTTGCGTACGCCGGAAATTTGCATACCAAGCCAGACGAAAAAAGAGCTTGTCTCAGGTTTTGTTGTTCTTTTCTGTGGGCTAAACTGGTCAAGTCTTGGTTGCTTGTTGATGATAAACGCGAACTTAACATGAATTCCATTTCTGTTAAACAGGTTGCCAAGCATCTCGCTCATTCTTACGGAACTAAAGCACCGGAAGTTATTAAACTAGCCAAAGTAACCGGAAGTCGTTGGCCAGTCTTGGGAAAGCGTCTTGTGGATGAATTTCCATATATTGAAGCGGAAATTCGCTACGGTGTACAGGAGTACGCATGCACGATAGTAGACTTCCTTGCCAGAAGAACACGACTTGCGTTTTTAAATGCTCAAGCCGCTGCCGATGCCATTCCGAAGATTGCCGACATCATGGCGAAGGAACTGAACTGGTCCAAGGCCAAGAAAGAGGTAATGTTAATATATTTGTGCAAATCTGTTAAAGGGGGTGGGGCGGGGCAGCGGGGAGGATGACTCAGCGTGCAAAGAAAGTAGTGTCCGATAGCCCGGGTCTAGTGGATTTCGCTATCGGACTAGTGAATTTTGTTTTTAACTTGCCCGACGGGCAAGTGATGTTTTTTGAGGAATTCGAATAGCAGAGGAACTGTGAAATCAATTCTGCTAGTCAAAAGTTTTTGGGGCTAGTTGAAATGACGTCCGGGCTACTAAATGCTAGCTTCCGCTTGCCCGAATGGCAAGCTGTAAAAATGATTTTCTTTGCACCCTGTGACTGAAGGCAAGGCAGGTAGACGTTAGGAGAAATTTATACTGGATGACCTCCTTATATTGGGCTTCGTCTGTTCCACACGTGAAGTGGATGGTTAAGATTTGTGTCTTCCATGCAAGTGAAACCTTTTCTACCGTGATGGTCTCAATGTGGAAAGTGCAATCGGCGACAAAATGAGTTTAGACACCGCAAAAGGACCTTTCTGGCGTGTTGCGGTCTTAAAAAGGGGAAAATCAAGCTTTCCCTCCCCCTTCTCCTCCATGCAATGTCGCGCTGCTGTTCGAGTTAGGAGACAACAAATATCCCAACTTTGAATGGAGGGGCTCGATTCCCAGCGGGGTTCAGATAAGATGTTCTCTGCCTCGCGTTCTTTTCTCTTGTATGATCCTCATGCATTGATCACCAAAGTTATAAGTCTTCTTTATTTTTAGGCCGAGATCAAAGAAGCCCGCACATTTCTCGACACTGGTATGGGATTGGACGTTCATGAACACGTACGGCGCGTGGAGGTGAATTTCAACGACGAGGAAGTCAAGCAATACGAGAAGATGTTTCAGAAAATTACCAAATCCAAGCGAGGATGTTTGAACTCGTTTGACTTGAGAAACATGTTGAAGGAGATGGGAGAGGAGGTATCTGACAAGCAACTTCATGAGCTTATAGCTGAAGTGGATATTAATAAGAATTCATGTGTGGACCTGGATGAGTTTCTACAGGTTAGTTACTGAAAATCCTAATATCAAT